AAAAAAAAAAAAAAAAGAAGAAGCAGATGCTATTTTGAGAAGCATGGACGTATAGGGTAGGATGAAAGGCAAGTTGCTGAAATGATTATCAAGCTCAAAGAATGGTTGTTTCAGAATGTGGTAATCATCAGAAAACATTAGATTGAGAGTAGATGAAAATCCAGCCTAAACTGGGATAAGTCAAAGGTCAAGGTTCCAGAGTAGACCAAGGCAGAGACAGGGGGATCAGAATAATGTGGGCTCACAGGTGTGGGCACCTACGGTTACACTGCAAAGATAAGGAAGTTGGGCTGAGGTGAAGAAGAAAGAGGATGAAAAATCAAGATGATGAGGAGAGCAAGAAATTCATAATATGGAAGGTGAATTCACCTGCTGAGCACTGCAGAGGGAGACTGAGGTTGAGGAGTGGGGTAAGGTAGGGGTTTATGTCGGTCATAGTGGGCATACCACTGGAACCTGACACAATCGGGGAAGCTTAGGGGTGGGGGGCCAGCTGAGGCCAAGTGGCAAGGTGGATCCATTTAGTACAGCAATATACCTTGGACATCACAGTTCCTGAAGTGAGAGAGTGGGGTCCCCAGACGTGAGACAAAGAATGGCAGAAAGAGCAGGGCAGTGGCCATGGAACTTGGAATCTGCTAAGGAGTAAGAACTTACCAAATCAGTGGTGCTGGATCATAGGGCTTATGCCTTTTATTGTAAACAATTGAAATAAAAAATGAATAGTCAACAGGGGCAAGGAGCCGTGGCAGCGAGCGCATTGTGGAAGTGAGAGATAGGAGGCCACGATCAGAGAGGGCGTCATCACAGTCTGAAATCTTGGAAGTAGAACAGTTTGTTTGTTTTTAAATTTCAGGTTAATGTGAGGGTACAAACAACCAGGTCAAATTATTTGCATTTGTTAGGTAGAGTCCTTCCTATAGTTATGACCCACCCTCCAGAGGTGTGCCAATGAAGTAGAACAGCTTTGAGCAATATTCAAGCCCACAGCGTGGTACATGATTAGGTAGATGGAGCCACCAGAATTGAAGACATTAGCTAACCAGGAGACACTGATGTTGATGGCTCATCAGGAAGGTTAAGGACTTAGAGGAAAATGATAGTAGATGGGAATGGAAAGAATGACCCAGTCTGGATGCTACAAAATCACCAAAAGTGTGGGAATGTTTTAAATGTCACTGAAGACCACAGGGTAATTAATAATATAAGCACACTTCATGATTTGTATGGGAGGAAAGGTGGATGGCCTTGAAGAATGGTGAGGAGAGGTGGGTATAAGACACGTCAACTTCTTTTCCTTACAAATGGAAGAAAAAGCATCAGGTCTAATGAAGACATGTTATTCACCAGGGAGATGGAATCTGGTGAATGGAATGTAAGAGGAAAGGGTCATGGAGATAGGGTGGAGTGTTTATATGAAACTGAAGGTCAAAGCAATGGAAGGAGTTGGTGGAAGAAAAGCCAAGAGAAGAGTAGGCCTGAGGAGGGCTGACCTGCTCCAGGATAAAAGAAGTGAGGGGTTTTCATGCTGGCAACAATCCCATAAAACAGGAATGAGGTCCAGGGAGGAGGGGCTGAGCAGCAGGGTGGGCAAACCCTTGACGTTAGGGCAGGCCTGGGGCTAGCTTCGCAGAACGTGGTATTTCATTTATGGTCTGGACAGTTCATCGACCCATTTACTAAAGTGACTTGTGATGGTGGTCTAAGTAATTTAGTATTTTCCTATGAGAGGTTTAGAAGCTATAAAAGAGGTTAGGTGGCTCCCGTTGAATTGAGCCCACAGAAACAATTTCGGGTAATAAAGGGTCTTAAATATTGGCTCTGTTCCGAAAAAGCGTTTGGAACGGGGTTTGGCTTCCCCTGCAAACTCCTCCTCCCACTAAGTTTATTCATAGTAGGCAGGTGTGGTATTTTTCTTCAATGATAATTCTTGGAGAAGAAATTAAAGACCTTGTGTTGTTCTAGGACTCTGAACTTGTATCCCGAGGTTGCACGATTTGGATATTTCTCTGCTGCTCTCTTGGCCCCCCACTTAATTGGTGAATTTCTAACTCTCGTGTTACTTGGTATAGTCCAAAACCCAAATATAGCCAACAGTGTTGTGGCTCTGCTGTCCATCGCTGGGGTGCTTATTGGATCTGGATTTGTCAGGTAAGATATAACAATTCAGAGAATTTAGATCGGAATAATCTGTTATTGATGACTACCTGATTATTGATAAAGGAATTCCAGAGAAAGCTATGTGGCACTGTCTAGAGATATTATCTTGCTAATAATTATTGTCTTAGACATTTTACTGTTCATCACTGGTTCAATAAAATCTCTTTCTTATTGACAGGAAATGACAAAACAAGCATGTTATTGATATGATTCACGTGTCTTTAGCCATTATACTAAGAGGAGGAAAACCATTCTAGTTGCTTCGGAAATACTCACAGCCCATTCGTCGGGCTAAATAGCATGCATGTTAGTTCATTTCTTACCAGGTGCAACTGAGTCTGCGGTCCTCAGTTCCCAGTTATTTTTAGGACTTAAGACTAGAAAGGTAGGAAAAGATCTTACCTTTCTTACTTAGGTAGGTAAGCAAAGAGCCTGCACGATAAAAGTTTGCTCAAAAAAGTATCAGGAACTAAAGGATACATACCAAAATTAACAGTAATCATCTCTGATATTTAATTTTTCTTCATATTTCTGTACTTTATAAGTGTTCTACAATAGAAGAGCATAATTTCATAGCCAAGAAAAAATAGATACATACACATACATTTTTAAAAAGCAGTAGCATAAAGGATAGAGAATTTTAAATGTGTAAAAATGATCCCAGGAGGCTGATATGGGATCTAGTAGATAAACTGTAGGTCCTTGATGAAATGTGGAGGAAGCTGTTCCTTTGACTTAAAAATCAAATAGCAAAACAAAAACAAACAAACAACAACAACAAAAAAACCTCCCCAGGCTGGAGTGCTGTGGCATCAGCCTAGCTCCCAGCAACCTCAACCTCTTGGGTCCAAGCAATTCTCCTGCCTCAGCCTCCTGAGTAGCTGGGACTGTAGGTACCCATCACAACACCCAGCTAATTTTTCTATTTTTAATAGAGACAGGGTCTCATTCTTGCTGGGGCTGGTCTTGAACTCCTGAGCTCAAGTGATCCACTTACCTCAGCCTCCCAGAGTGCTAGGATTACAGGTGTGAGCCACCACACCTGACCATATTTATGATAATGTTTAATTATTTAAGTCTCAGATAAGAAAACTCAGCTCAGACTTGACCTGGCTCAAGTCATAACACTATAGAGAGGCTCTCTCATGATGCATATAACTCCCCAAAGAGAGGGCTGATCTAGGAGTTAGAACCTTCTTCTACCATTTAGCTGCGCAGGACCACAGGCAAGTCACTTTTGTTATCTAAATTAGCTTCCTCTTTTATGAAATGGAGATAACTCTCTCAGCCCACCCACTTCAAGGGATCATAAAAAGCAAATGAGACAATCAATGAACACTGTATCTGTAGTGCATTATATAGAGGTGAGATATCCTAAAGCAAAGTGAGCTAGCCTTTGATCAATCAAGAAGGGTATTTTTCGCACTGGCACCATTCCGTTATCTTTGCTGATGTTGCTTAAGTGGATTGTTAGCGTCTATGAAAAATACACAAATCAAATCAGCCCTACAGAATCAAGTCAGCAGGATACAGACCTAACCTTGGGCAGCATCTCCCTTTCATATTATAAAATTATTATATTGCATTTGAATCAATCTGGCACAATGTCATGTATAGACAATTCCCAACTTATGATTTGACTTAGAATTTTTTATTTTATGAT